AATGCCCTTCAGTCCTCCCAGGCGTCTGCTCAGGGAGCTCACACATAGTACCGGGGTTAGGAACTGCCTGGCCTGGCCCAGGTCCCTGTCGGTCTGTCTGTCTTCTACCATCTAGATTTTCCAGGGAGGGATGAGCGCTAGTGGCCTCTGCATCCTCCTGGTGCCCAGCAGAGCTCCCTGCCCAACCCTGCCAGGGCTCAGAAGGGGCTAGGCAATCAGTGTTTGTTGAATGAGTGAAGAGGGCATGTCTGTGCACAGGACCAAGTGCCTGGGCAGCCTGGAGTGGGTGCCTGGCTGGATGCCTGGCTGGGGCCTGCCCAAGCCTAAGGCCAGGGGTCAATGTGGGCCAGCCTCTCCTGTGTGAGGCGCCAGAGCCCTGCCCCCTGGGGTAATAGCGCTGCTCCCCTATGATCAGGAACAACCTGGCAGCGTCCTCTCCCAGAGAAGGTGAGCTGGGTTACTATGGAGACCAGTTTTCTGGCAGCTGTCACTCATGGGGGTGGGAGGCAGGGAGAAACACAGAAGCAGAGAGATTGAGAATCAGGGAGAGAAAGACAGATGAGAGTGAAACAGAGACAGGCAAAGAGAGATACAGAGAGCAGCAGAGAGAGAACCAGAGACAGGAAAGAAAAAGATGAGAGAGAAACAGATATGGAGGGAGAGGGTGGAAAGAGAGCGGATGGAGATGGAGACATGCAGACCCCACCTCTGATCTCTGACCCACACTGGCAGCCAGGTCGGAGAGCATGAAAACAGGCTCCCAGCCCATATGGGCTTGACCAGGCTCTTATCCATATGCAGGGTTCCTACCAGCCTTGTCCCACACACCACCCCGAGGGCTGGCTGTTCTCCCTCAGCCCCCAATCCACCTGAGATGGGGCAGGAGGACAAAAATCTCCAAGATGTTTTGTAACCTATGGGGACAGCCAAGCATCCCCCTCCATGGACATACCCCCACCACACAGTCCCGCCCCATGCAGACACCAGGCCCCAGCCTGCATGCCCACATGCCCAGCCTGTTACAGTCAAGCACACATACTTGAACATACACGCCCGCGCACAGGCTGGGTGTGCAGCCATGCACTCACCCCCACTGCACCAGCGGCAGAAACATGCATGCATATGTGCACATACTTGCACGTGTCTGCACACAAGTGTGCCCGAGTATGCATGCTTACATACACAGACATGCACACTTGTCCAGACATGCAAACGTGCACACACACACACCAGAAATCAATCCATAGCTCTTCAGGGACCCTATCTCCTCTGCGTCAGAAGATCCCCATTACTGCTCCCTGAGAGGAATGGGGTAGGTATTTCAAGTTCCAGAGGAAAGTAATTGCACCTGGCCTGTGGCTATGTGCTTGGGAAGAGGGGACAGAGGCCCCTGCTATCCTGTCTCTACCCCATTAGGTGTGTAAGCAAGCAGATGACTGCTGCAGCCTTTTGTGAAGGGGTCTCATTCCTCCACCAACCCCCAGCCTGGAGGTCACAGAGAGATGACAACTACCTCCACGACTTTCGCTGTCCGCAGGCTTCACCTGGATTGGCCTCGCCATCTGTGGAAAGAGGGGTATGGGGGAGGTCAAGGTCAGCAGCTGGAGTAGCATGTGTAGGGACTTTGCCTGAGCTCTGCCAGGCAACCCTGCCCACCTCTCCAGCCTCAGCATCCCACCAACCACCAGGCAGCAACTAACACTCCACTCAAACCAAACAACACATGGTCCCACCTACAGGGCCCTGATCATGCTGTCTGAAAAACTTTTACTTAGCCTCTAAAACCCAGTAACAATATCCCTTCTTCCAGGAAGCTTCCTTGCCTCCCCAAGTGCCAGAGACTGTTTACAAAAATGGCCCAACTCCTCCAGTCCCTGTATGTGATGATACTTTGTGGTTCCTCTCATCAAGAACTAAAGTCACCTGGCCGGGTGTGGCTCAGCAGTTGAGCATTGACCTAGGATCCAAGCGATCGGGCTTTGATTCCTGATCAGGGCACATGCCCGGGCTGCAGTCTCGATCCCCAGTTGGGGGCATGCAGGAGGCAGCCGATCAATGAGGACTCTCTCATCATTGATGTTTCTATCTCTCTCTCCCCCTCTCCTTTCCTCTCTCTGAAATCAATAAAGATATAAAAAAATAAAAATAAATAAAATTAGATTTTAAAAAAAGAACTAAAGTCTATTTTCCTTTTGAATCTGGACTTGGCCATGTGACTTGCTCTGACCAATAGAATGAAGTGGAAGTTGTGGGGGTTCTAACTTTGGCTTCAAGAGGCCTTGCAGCTTCCACTCATGAGACCCTGAGCATACCAGGTCATGCCAGGTCATGCCCAGGAAAACTATTGGAGTATGGTAGACCTTATGCACAGAGAGGCCTCACTAACACACAGCACATAGGAGTGAGGTCGTTCTGGCCTAGCTTGCCCCAGTCAAGCCCCAACTGACTGCAGCTGCATGAATGACCCCTGGAGCAAGGCTGGGATTACCAACTCACAGAATCATGAACAAATAAAATGGTTGGGGTGGTCTGTTACTCAGAAGTAGCTGACTAATACACCAAGGCTGCTGCTTTTAGTCAGCTCCCAGAGCTTCAGGTGGGAGGACTGTCAAACCTGAGTGGACCAGCCTAAAATCTGGACTCATGTTCTGGACACTTCTATCCCACACCCCTGGCACTGAAAATTATGTTCAATAAAAGAAATCCTCCCCTAGCCCTTACCCCCAAACTTACCCAGCCATGAGTATGATATGAGCTAATGTGAACATTTGACAGCAGACTTGAGGGATATAGGATGAGGAGGCATTTGCTTCTCCACTGATCCTAGGACAGAATCTTCCTCCCAACTTGGTATCTCTGGTGAACTCCTACTTGTTCGTCAAATCCCAACTCAAAAGCCCCCAAGTGGGCAATCCTTTCACCCCTCAAGTTCCCTCCTCCCTCTGCCTCAGGGCAGGACATGTCTCTGTATTGCTCTTCTTCCTCCAGACTGAGGACCACAGCATCACCCCACACAGGGCAGGATACATGGGAGATTCAGAGGAGCCTCCTGAACTGAGCTGACCAGAAGAAAGGGGCTGACATCCACCAAACAGAAAGGCACCTCATCTCTCCCCAATAGGCCTGGGGGCAGTGAGTGCTGGTCCTAGGTCAGACAATCTTGGAGTAGATCCCCACCCATCCAGAGAAGGTGCTTGATAAATGTCAGTTTTCTGATCATAGTGCAGCTACCCAGCAAGCTCAAGAGAGAGACATGGTTTTCACCCCATTTTATAGATGTCAAAATCAAGGCCCAGAGAAAAGTTATTTACTATATCCACCAAGGTCATGGTAGATGAGTTGAGGCACTAAGGAGCCCTAGAGGTCAAATGTAGAGGTGTTTCCACCCACTCCCATGAGTAGAGACCCCTCACCAACTTTGAAACCCCCATGTCTCCTCCCCTCTGAATTATTTCCCCTTCTCTCAGACTCTGTCCCAGCTCTGAACCCCCTCTTTGAGCCTCTCCTTTATTCAGCACCCCCTTTCCCTGAGTCCCCTCCCATGGTAGACTCCCCTCCTCCTCTCTAGTTTCCCTCACCTTTCTAAGTCCCTTCCTTCTCTCTGCTCCCCCTCCCCTATCTGAGCCTCTCCCACTTCAGATCCCTTCCCCCTATCTGAGTGTGTTCCCAGGCACATATGGGCACAGCTGCCTCAATCTGAACTCAACCTTGGGAGCTCCAGAACCAGGGAGGCCTCAGCCTCCCCAATCCAGCATCCCCAATTCCGGTAGTTCAACAGTTCTGCCACCCAGCCACACCCTCAGAGGAGAGGGGGACCCATGTCTCCCTTCCCCCACCACACACACACACACACACACACACACACACACACCAACCTGGGTACCACACCCTGCTAGCTGGAGGCAGGAGGGGAGATTATTTCAACCAGATGGGACCAGATTCTGGGCTGGGGGCAGACTGAGGTGATGAAAGGAAGTGGGGGAAAAGGGGGCACCTGAGCATCAGCCTCCTGCTCCCCCACCCCTCCCACCTCACCTCCACTGGCCCTCATCTCTTCCCCCTCCCAGCACCTTGGGCAGATGAGGATGGGGTTGCCAAGGCAACACTGATTCACCACATGGAAGCTGGCAATTGTTGTTACCATGGAAACCGCCTCTTAGGGGCGAGCCTAGCTCCTGCCTTGCACAAAAGAGATATTTAAATATAATCTTCTGGAGATGGATGAGCCAAGAGAGGGAAGTAGGGAGGGGGCCACAGGGAGGGAACCTGCCCCCACCATAGCACCCTCACCACATTCCCGTGGCCTGGGTACCTGCTCACCCTCTGCACCTTTGGATGCTGCAGAGTCTGGGACCTTTCACCTCCTACTGGGAGGCTCCTTCCCCTTCCTGGGTCAGCTTGGCAGGGGGAGGAGGCCCTGGTCTGGTCCCAGAAGCCAGGTGTGCAGCCCCCTCCTCTCCGGCCTCCCACTTGGAAGCTGAGGCTTGGAGGCCCAGCTGTCCACACCCCACAGGCCCGCACCCCGCCTCACCCACCAGCCTAGAGACTCACACCAGGCTGGCACCCAGCAGGCTGTGGCCTGCAGCACTGGCCCTGGGCGCACAGGGGCGCATACACAGCAGGAAGCCGAGGCCCGATGCCCCACTTCCTGAGCCCCACGCCCAGGCAATCCACCAGCCCCTGGCCAGGCCCTGTGTGCCCAGCAGAGCCTGGAGGAGGCGTGCCAGGAGGGAACGGGGTCTCCTCATACCCCCACCTCCCCAGCCCACCCCCTTCCAGCTCCCTCTCTCCATCTGTCCCACCAAGGTCTCTGCTGAGCGCCCTCTCTCCCTCCCCCACCTCTGGCTCCCCAGTGTTGCATCTCTTCCTTCTGCCCTCTCCCTCCCTCTTTTCATTTATTCAACAACATTCCCAGTGTGCTGAGTAATTTTGAATCCCAGGGAGGATCCCACTTGTCTGGTGGAGGGGAAGAGAGGCAGATACAGACACTCCTACACTCATAGGGTCAGGGTTTGAGCAGAGGGCAGAATCAAGGGCTGGGAGAGCCTAGAGCAAAGAACAGCCAAAGAGCCAAAGGCTATGCGGGGGCTGCACTGAAGATGGGAAATCCGCGGTGGGTTTTGAAGTGAATAGGAGTTTGAGGGGAGAAATTTCTCACGTGGGAGCAATATGTACATCCACTGACATTAATCTCCAAACAACTTTATGAGATGGAAACATTCCCATTTTATAAATGGGCAAATCCGAAAGGGAAAGAAGAACATCAGACTCAGAGGCCCACCCTAGCCGGTTGCTCAGTGGTTAGAGCATCAGCCCTCAGCTGGAAGGGTCCGGGTTCCATTCTGACCGAGGCACTTACCTCGGTTGCAGGCTCCAGCCTGGGTTGGGGCTTGTGAGGGAGGCAACCGACGGCTATGTCTCTCTTATCTCTATCTCTCTCTCTCTCTCTCTCTCCCTCTCTTCCTCCTTCCACTCTCTCTGAAAAGCAGTGGAAAAATATCCTCCAGTGAGGATTAAAAAAAAGAATCAGAGGCCCAATCTCCTGCCAATTTCCTCAGTGTCCTCTGAGGACCCAGCTATCCCTCTAGTCAAGGTCCTGTGGGCTGGGGCTCTGGGAGCGTCTGTGTCTTTGGGGTAGGCACACATGAAGTGGCTGGGGTCCAGTCCTTGCTCTGTCCCCCAACCTTTGCTGGGTGACTTCAACCAAGCCATACACCATTGGGAAAACAGGGTCCCTTAAGTATGACCTATGTATATTACAGATGGGGAAACTGAGGCCACTGGGGGCAAGGACTGCAGGAGGAGTCTCTAGTAGTCAGGCTGGGGCCTTAAAGAGTCTCCTGGGTTTGCAAAGTTGTGCCTTTAGAAGACATGGGGACCCCAGGGGAAGCCCCAACTGGGTTGTTTCCGGGGGTGAGGGGTGTGAAGAGGAGGGAAGCAAGGCGGACCCCTGCTGGGCTGCCCAGGTCACCATCCCAGCCTCCTCCTCTCCCACCTGGGCCCAGATCAAGTGCCTCTCCTGGTCTAGATGCTGCCTTGGCTCCCTAATGCCCTTGGGGTAGCTCTTCCACTTGGCATTTGAGCCACCTTTGCTGCTCAGCCCCAGGCTTCCCTCCTATGCCCCTGGGACGCTGCTGTTGCACTAACTTGGCTGGAGTACACCCCTCTGCACACCATCCTCACCTTGAAAAGACCCCTCAAATTCCACTTCCTCTGAAACCTTCCCCTCACTGTCTGTCTGCTTTGGTTGCTTTGCCTAGACCTTGCTTTGATCACAGCACAACTCCTAACACACACACACACACACACAGTCCCTCTTTTGGGTGAGCTCTTCGGGGCAGGGGTTGAGGGGCTCTGTGTTTTCTAACCCGAGAAGACCCAGCACAGAGTCCACAGAGAACAACTGAAATGGAATGAAGCAAGACCTATGGTTTTCACAGAAAGTGAAACCCAAGTCTTATCCCCATGGGCACAGAGCAAGCTGGAAATGTGCTGGGCACAGTGTTCAGCAGGGAGGTAACCCAAGAGTTTGTGCCAGGCTCTGTCTACACCAGCTCCCTTT